CCAGTGGAAATCTCGTGGCGATAAAGTCCGTAAACCTATCCAGACTGAATAAGAAACTCAAAGATAACCTATATGTCGAAATCGAAATATTAAAAAGCCTTTACCATCCTCACATCGTTGCCCTGATTGATTGCAGAGAGTCTGCGTCGCATATACATCTGATGATGGAATATTGTGAATTGGGGGACTTGTCGTATTTCATTAAGAAGAGAGATAGACTGGCCGATAACCCTACGCTTTTTGATATGGTTAAGAAATATCCTATGCCAGTTGAAGGCGGACTCAACCAAGTTGTAGTTCGACATTTTTTCAAACAATTGTCAAGTGCTATGGAATTCTTAAGGGAACGGGACTTCGTACATAGGGACGTTAAACCACAAAACTTACTTCTCATCCCATCACCGGAATGGATAGCAAAGAGGGCGAAAGGTGGTCCAGAAGCTATGAAAGCGAGCAAGGAATCCGTTGTGGCCATGGTTGGAATCAATTCACTACCGATGCTTAAATTGGCCGATTTCGGTTTTGCTCGATCGTTACCATCTACTTCGCTTGCAGAGACTTTATGCGGTTCACCCCTTTACATGGCACCCGAAATTTTGCGTTACGAGAAATATGATGCGCGAGCCGATCTCTGGTCTATTGGAACGGTTCTTTATGAAATGATGACAGGAAGGCCCCCTTTCAAAGCAATAAATCATGTTCAATTGTTACAAAAAATTGAGAAAAATCAAGATGAAATTAGATTCCCTAGTAGGGGTATCTATAGCAGAGACTTGAAGGATATCGTGCGACGTCTCCTCAAAAAGAAACCGGAAGATCGAATAACCTTTCCAGAATACTTTGCTCACCCAGTTGTGACCGAACCAATTCCTGGCCTGGTTGGAGATGATCGACCAAAAGAAAAATCTCCGGAAACTTCAATTGTCCGTCAGCCATCTTTGAGAGATCGTCAACGTGAAAGTCCAACTGTCAAGCACATTGATACGGCATATGAATCATTGATTACGAGAGATATTGGGGAGCAATCTCCAAGAAGTCCTCATATAGAATCCAATCAACATTTTGGGACAGAAGGTCACAACGCTGGACGTCCTGGGTCGAGAGATCGACCTCCTCCAATTTCTGCTGCAACTGCTCGAAATGTGGATACCTTACCCAGACAAAGAGACCGCAAGGATCGCACGGAACCAAATTATGCTCCAATTGTAAGAACTGGGTCCAGGAAACAACGTTACGATGAGCAAGCAAATTTGCAAACCAAACCCGAGATTCAATCGAGTAATTCCATAACTGAAGCCGAGCAAGATGTTCGTGATGCTAGAGAATATGTTCTAGTTGAGAAGAAAGCTGTTGAAGTCAATGCTTTTGCTGATGAGATGGCTGCAAATCCAAGACTTGGACGTGCTAATTCAACGCCTAAACAATTACCTAGAAGGCATACATCAATGGGAGAACCAAATTCAACAACAGGAGCTGTAGCTGTACCGCCTTCGCGCACAGTTCAAAAAGCATCAGGAAGAACCCAACCAGATACATCATCCGCGAGAAATTCATATGGTTCTTATGGTAAAACTGGTAGTAGTCCATCAACTGCTTCAGCTATAGCTAAAGCACTTCAAGGCGCAAGTGTGAGAGTATTTGGAGTTTCTTGGTCTCCAACTCTCATTGGAAAGGGTCCATCTCCACAACAATTATACAATCCTTATCCCACTTATCCTACACCTAATGCTGGGTTGATTGGAGACGGGCGACCTATTGATGAGGATCAAAGAGTTGTCAACATTATTGAGGATTCCGCAACTCGAAGTGATGTTGTTTACGGATTTGCTGAAGTCAAATATCGACAACTTATTCCTTTAGCACCTTCTATGAATCATGGCCTAGGAGGTCCAAATCCCGAAAGAATGGGTGATGCTATGGATGAAGATGATGGTCTTACCGTGGAGGCTATTGTCAATTTATCCGAAGAAGCACTTGTATTATATGTCAAGTCATTATCACTTCTTTCAAAATCTATGGATATCGCAGGAGCTTGGTGGTCACGAAAGCAACGTGGTGGAATCATTAGTGGAGGTCACACTCCAGGAAGTGATTCATCTTCAGCAGCTCAAGCAGGAAACCGTATTAACGGTGCAGTTCAGTGGGTCCGAACTCGATTTAATGAAGTCTTGGAGAAAGCAGAACTTGTTCGACTTAAATTGATCGAGGCTCAAAAACGACTTCCTGAAGATCATCCAGGGCACCCAAACAATCGTTCAACAGCTTCAAGATTGGTTGGTGGATCTTCAACCACTGATGGTGTTGTATTGAGCTCTGGTATCACTGCTGAAAAATTGATGTACGACCGTGCTCTAGAAATGAGTCGTACAGCAGCTATCAATGAATTGGCAAATGAAGATCTCCCTGGTTGTGAAATTTCATACACAACTGCCGTTAGAATGCTCGAGGCAGTTCTCGAAAATGATGAAGAACTTATTCCTCGAAAGAGATCATCAAGTCTACGGGAAGATAAGGAGAAATCTGAAGGGGGAGAAGTTAATGGTATCAATTTCGGCGATAGAAAAGATGTCTTGAAAGGTAAATATAATTCTTGGTTTTGTGAAAGGTTATATTTGTAACTGAAATGCTAACTAGAAACTAGTACTTCAAATGATTCGGACCCGTCTTCAAGTCCTCAAGAAGAAGATGACAGTTATTGCTAAACATCAATCAATGCCACCTCCATCATCATCTCCACGTCGAAGTTATAGTGGAGGAACTACTCCTACCATGAATAATACTCCACCGAAATGAACCATATACAGACAAGCAAGAAAGCTGGTCTTTCGATTAGTCAAATGCATTATGATAACATGGACGTAAACGCAAATGCATAGTTTGGGCGTCATTCGAGTTTAACATCTTTCTATCTTTTTTCTCATTCATTTCAGGCTGATTTTTTTGTATGAGTTTTTAGAAATCTTTGGAATTTCTTTGTTTTTATGTGGATTAGGTTGTTCTTTCCTTTCCTTTGGACTGGAGTACTTGGATCCGTGATTCATATGGGAATTTCATTTGAAAGCAGGTACATACGACGTTCACTTCGTCTCACAACCTACTGATGATTATGATGGAGGGTTGGAATGGTTAAGATTGGCGTTTTTTTTTTACTTCATACTAGTATGGTCATTTTCAGTTATTGAGAGCTTCCGAATACACAAACTGCTCAGTGTTTTCTTTTCTATTTCTTTTCAAATTTTTGCAATATTCAATGGGGTTAGGTTGGGAAGGAGGATGGATGGATTGAAGGTGTTTGATAGAAACAGACACGCACACGCAAATGAATGAATGGATGGATTGAATCGGACACTCCCTCTCCTCTCTTATTGGCGCGATACACCCAGGGATTTATTTGGATTTGGTGTTTAGTTGGGACTTTGATGTTACTTGTTGGATTGGATTGGCGGTTTGGGAGGTTGTTGAGGGATTTTTTGAAGTTGGTTGGTTGTTTTTAAGAGGATGAGGAAAGGGGATCATCGGATATGCGTGCGTGCGTGCATGGATTGCATTGATTTGCATCGTTGTATCTGAGAAGATATCTTCATATCATGTTATGAAATGCGGAAGCGGAAGCGGAGGTTGTGGATAAGAAGCCAGGAAGTTGGTCAACTAGCAAGTGAGAAGGCGGTTAAGAATGATCAGGATTTAGGATATTGGATTTCGGAGATTGAGATAGGAATGGGATGGAATAGGACAGGATAGGATAGGATAGTATGATGAAGATGTATCAATCACAATATGAGTGATCCATAACTACTTAGGTATCTTGAACTATTCGTGAGTGAGTGAGTGAGTGAGTGTGTTTGAGTAAATTACTAATCACCGGTTTCTTTTTCTATCTTTCTCCTCCTTTCCCTTCTTTCTTTTTGGTTCATCCATTCATTCATGAATCACCGCATCGATCGCTGCTCACCCGTGATATGTACACAAGATGAATAATATAATATATAAATATATATATATGTATGTATGTACGTCGTCAGACGTTTGAAAGTAGATAATAATGCGTAAGCTGGTAGGTATGAATATCACACATACACATCTCACATGCGACCATAGACCTGATACTCATTCTCATATCGAGATAATCGGATATCTTATGCTTCGATATACTATGCTATACTATCCTAATATCCCAATACCAAATACCATATTTTCCTCCCTTCTCCCCCAAAGATCTCACTCACCCAGGTAGGTAGGTAGGTAGGTAGGTAGGTAGGTATACTTGCTCACAACCCACCCCATCTCAAGGATCTCAAGAATCCCAGGAATCTCAAGAAGAACAAGAAAAACAAGGTGCGTTGCATCCAGCAAAACCTTCATGTTTCCATCCTTCCATCCATCCATCTTCCTCCCTTCTTCATCGTCCAAAGTAAAGTAGGAAGTAGAGAAATCAAGAAACAGTAGATACCCCCACCAGAAAACCCCTCCCACGCATCTTTGCCTTCTAGGTACAATTGCGACTTCAACTTTATAGTTGCGTAACGTCAAGCAAACCGTCATGTTTTCCACCCAATCACTTTTCCCAATATTGCATTGCATTTCATTGTATCAAAGAACTTCAATGCTCAATCGTCAAGTAAATTGCCACAAAAAAACAGTAGATACCCCCCAAAAATCAAAACTCCTTCTTCCCAATGCCTTTAGGTATAATTGCGACTTAGAGTCAAGCAAAACGTCATGTTTTGGTCGCCCAAAACAGTAGATACCCCCAAAAAACTCCTGGTATAATTGCAACTCATGAAAGAGGAGTCTCGCAAAACGTCATGTTTATGTATCATTTTTCCCTCCCGTTCGCCGATGCCAGTTTAGATCGTAAAACATCTTTGTAATGAGAAAAGAAAAAGTAAAAACAGTAGATACCCAAAAAGCTTTTGTAAAAACCCTTCTCCGAAGAACGAAATAAACCCCCATTTTTTAAAAAGAAAACGCGTGTACTAAATGAGAATTGGAGTTTTTTTTTAATTTTCCAATGGGATGTGAACATTCTTCTCGCCTGCAGGAATAACGGTATCTTCTTTCTCACCCTTGAGGTTTGGTAGTTCATCAATAGATTCCTTGATGATGGCGAGAGCCTTTTGAATATCTTCCTCGCTGATGACAAGAGGTGGTGCAAGACGAATAATGTTCTCGTGGGTTGGTTTGGCCTATGGAATGTTAGCCGTATTCATCTCAAATAATTTTCCATCATGAAATAAAAAGGAAAAAACTTACAAGTAATCCCTTGCTCTTCATCAACATACACAAATCCCAAGCACTGTGACCACCAGTCTTTGACTCATCAATGACAATAGCGTTCAACAAACCCTTTCCTCTAACCAACTTAATCATGGGACTGTTGAAATCTTCCAATCCCTTTCTTAAGACATGACCCAACTTTTCAGCTCTCTCAGTCAATTTTTCTTCTTCCATGATTTCCAAAGCACGAATAGAAACTGCACAACCCAATGGATTACCTCCATATGTAGAACCGTGAGTACCAGGTTCAACAGTGAGCATAACTTCCTTTGAACTCAAAACGCAAGAGACTGGGTACATTCCACCAGAGATGGCCTTTCCGAGTGTAACCATATCTGGTTTAATACCAGACCATTCTGAGCAAAGCATACGTCCAGTTCTACCAATACCAGTTTGGATCTCGTCACAGATCAAGAGGACATTGTGTTTCTTGCAAAGAGCATGAACCTTTGCAAGATAATCATCATCTGGGACAACAACACCAGCTTCTCCTTGAATTGGTTCGACAATAAAGGCAGCAGTATTCTTTCCATGGGCTTCGAGAACAATTTCAAGATCAGATACATTGTTGAATCTAATTTGTCTCTTGGTAGTTGGGCATTCAGCACCGACACCTGGAACATATGGACCATAGTTATCGCGAGATTCAGGATCGACGGACATGGAAATTGCGGTCATCTATAATGTAAATATAGTGTTAGTATCATGCAATAGAAACAATTCGAGCGCAGCGAGCTATGGGGGTTTGGGGGCTTGCCCCCATGAAGAAGTTGTAGATGACGCTCCGCTGGCCCTCCGGGGGCCACTGCCGTGGAGGCAGACTAGAGGGATGTGAGATAACGAGAAAAGATTAATGCAACATACCGTTCTTCCATGAAAGTTCTCCGCCGCTGCGAAAACGAGGGCCTTATCCTTCTCAACGCCCTTAACCTTGTATGCCCACTTCCTCGCAATCTTGATCGCCGTCTCTACCGCCTCAGCTCCCGTATTCATTGGCAAAACCATATCATAACCAAACACCTGCTTAATCTTCTCCGCCCACTTAGGGAAAACATCATTATGGAATGCTCTTGAGGAAAGCGTTAGACGTTGAGCTTGCGCACACAGAGCCGCCACGAGCTCCGGATGACAATGGCCTTGATTGACGGCGGAGTAGGCAGAGAGACAATCGATGTAGTGGTTTCCTTCGGGGTCCCAGACGGAGGATCCAGAGGCGCGGGCAAAGACGATGGGGAGGGGATGGTAGTTGTGGGCTGCGTAGGCGTGTTCGTCGTGGATGGCGGAGGCGGTGGAGGTGGAATGGTATTTGGATTCGGGGATGCTGGTTACGGGGGAGAAGGTGGGGGCGGTGGCTTTGAGTGTGCTACCGGTACCGTTGGTGGTGGACAGGGTGTCTGCGTGGGGAGCCATGGTTGATGGGAATGTGATTTGTGATGGATGTTTTTGGGGGTTGTGCCTTGTGGATTGTTACTATTATTTTGAGATTTTGTTAGAAATTGAGATTGTGAGATGAAATAGAATTTTGATATGTAATTGTAAATAATTGTAAGATGTTGTGTTGTGGTTGTAGTTGTTGTAATGATTGATAGGAAGTGTAGGAGGAAGTGGGATGAAGTGGGATGAACGTTTGAAAGGAAAGATTGCTTGCTTGTACATAAAAGTACACCCAAGGATTAAACTAACGATTAAGTACCGAATTAGTACAATATTTATTACTTACTTTGTATTTATGGTATAATGTTCGCTTTGTTAATAAATTGTATGTAAAAATGTCGATATCAAAAGTATCAATGGTAGATACAACAAGTCGAGTCTAGTCAAGTCAAGTCGAGTCAAGCCAAAGCAAGGGATTCAAGCCTCTTTATATACTCGAGTAGACCGGGAGAAAATCATATTTATCTACTTCTCTTCCTTCATCATCCAAAACTCACTAAACCCCTAAGTGCAAGTATATCCCATCTTCCCACCCAGCTGATCTCTCCATTGACTAACAGAAATTTCCCAAATCAAGACCATTCTACCATTTTACTCGCGTTTCCTGTCCATCCTGCTTATACCTGCACTTAGGGGAACAAAAGATTCCAAAACACATCCGTTGCTTTCCGTCCCTCGTCACCCCTTGCTTATAGGGTTCGAGTGAGGCGGAGATGATGATTTAGGGTGTACTTTAGTGGATACGCATAGTCTAGGTTTCTGCATGTACCTAGTCGCTCGGGGGTGAAAAGAGGATTGAGAGGGTCCAAGATTCATTTGGATCCTATCATTGGGGCTTTGATATTCTAAGCATAATCGTTCCGAATTTGATTGGATGAAATGGGTTTTGGAATCGAGGAACTTGTCTTCCAAGGAAGCTTCTCTTTGGAAGGGAAGGAAACATTTCTTTTCTAACAGAGACGGGATTGAATGATTGAGTGAGTGAGTGAGTGAGTGAGTGAGTGAGTGAGTATGAGAGGTTAGATAGGTATGCTCGAGATATGATCTGAATGATGTGTTAGAGTATATACTATCAACGTCGGGACATACATATATGAATGAGATGGAGTGTAGTACATACCAAACAAGGGTTTCAATAAACCATGGTTTGTCCAAAGCCAAGCAAGAGATAATGATAGCGATACAGAAGATTCAATTGATTGCTAGACATGAGATTTGGTAATTCAAATAACTGGTTGATGGTATTGGTGGCATTGGTGGCATTGGTGACATTCGATAGGAATCCTTGACTCGATAGACTCGATAGATATCATTCTTGCATTCTTGGAGTGCAGTGCTTGTGTGATGAGAATGTGATAAGGCATCCAGGCATCCAGGCATCCAGGCTTCAACACATCAAGTCCACCAGTCTTCAATGTTCGGTCGGCTAAATACCGGCAACCACTCCCACCACACAAACACGTGGGCAGCTTCTTAGGAAATGAAATTACATCACGCACCAGGACTATCGTAGAAATAATTTATATGTCCTCCAATTGTACAGATCACATACATTGGATATCCCAAACTTTTCTTCCTTCTAACATTCTTTCCCTCTTTTCTTATCCCATCTCATCCTCATGAACAACTCATCGTCATGTCCAATCCAATCCCGTCCTCTACCAAAGAGGTAAAATCTTCTTCACCACCTACAATACCATCACCTCCTCCTCATCACCTCACCCACAACCTCTTAAATTCAGATATTCAAGAAAATGGTCTTCACGCTCTAGTAAACATTCAAACTGCAAAAGATATTTGGACATTCCTTCTAGTATTTAGAATTTTCAATTCTTTTCTTGTCAAAACTTTCTTTCAACCAGATGAATATTTTCAATCGTTAGAACCGGCTTGGGAATTGGCTTTTGGAGAGGGGAGTGGTGCTTGGATTACTTGGGTATGTAATCTTTTGATATTTTTAGTGTTCTGATTCTCTTTACGTTTCGTGGGTGAGGGAAGTGAGAACGATTTATAGAGGATGGAGAGGAGAGAGGAATAGAGACTACGGTAGTGATTTTACTGGTGAAAGGGGGGAGGGGTCGAGGGGCAATACATTGAGAAAAGTTTCTCTGTTGTTGTTTCTTGATATACCATTTCCAAATATTCGGCCGCCACGGCAGTGGCCCCCCGGGAGGGCCAGCGGAGCGTCATATACATATCTTTGTTCATCTCATTCCATATAATACCAGTTTAAATCAATTGACTATTTCTCCTTTATGGGGGCAAGCCCCCAAACCCCCATAGCTCGCTGCGCTCGAATAATAGATACTAATTAGATTAAACAGGAATGGCATTATCAGTTACGATCTTCATTACATCCAACTCTTTTTGCAGCTGCATATTATTTAATAGATAAACCTATGGAACTTGTGAATTTCTTTCCTCAATTTAGAGCTGAAGTTTTAGCTGTATTACCAAATATTATTCAAGCTATATTTGCCGCAGCTTGTGACTATTATACTTGGAAAATGGCAGAGAAAATGTATGGATTGGGTAGTAGAACTGGTTATGTTACTGTATGTTTATATCTTGAATATATAGAGGAATGGAAAACTAATTTGCATCAGCTTCTCATGAGTGTATTAAGTCCTTGGAATTGGTTTTGTTCAACAAGAACTTTTTCAAATTCTTTGGAAACTAGTCTAACAATTACTGCTTGGTATTTTTGGCCTTGGGATATGGCAATTAATTCTGGAGAGAAAATTAAAGAGGGAACGAAAGATGCATCAACCACGTCTATATCTAGAGGTGTTTTCCAAACGACGGAATCCGTGAACCAGTAAGATTTCTGGAGTTCTATATTTGAGATTCATCATCTAACTACAACAGTCTTCGATACTCCCTTCTTCTTGCAGGTATTGCTTGCATTCTTAGACCAACCAATCTTTTAATATGGTTTTGTGTCATAATGCCAATCATCATGTCCCTCATACCTGGAGTATCTCCAAAAACAACTAAATCACCCATCCCACAAGATTACATTGTTCTCCTTAGAGAAGCCATCTTATGTGGTTCGATCATCCTCATCATCTCAGCTATTTCTGATCGTCTCTACTTTGGAGAATGGACATTTCCACCATATCAATGGCTTCATTTCAATATCTCTCAGAACCTAGCCGTATTTTACGGCAAGAATGATTGGCATTATTTTTTCTCCCAAGGTCTACCACTTTTACTACTCACTTATCTTCCATTCACGATTCTGTCGATTTTCAAAACCTACACACCATCTACAATACCAAATCCAGAATTCACCTCCAACCTCCAAACAACTCTAACACAAATCACTGGTGTGATGATCTTCGTCTTAAGCACAATCTCTCACAAAGAAGTTCGATTCATTTACCCACTTCTACCTATTCTTCTCCTTCTAACCGCACCATCAATTACATCTTTCTTCACACGCGAAACTCAAATCCCCACAGGCGATCCCTCGAAATCGAAAATCGAAACCACCACAATCCGCAAACCTCTTTTGACTATCCTCATTCTCCTCAATATAGCCGTGGCAGCTTACACAACAATAATCCATCAATCCGCCGTGATATCAGTAACTACATTCATTCGCCACAAATACGAAACAGAAATGCTAGATGCTCAAGGAATCCCTCTGCATTCTCCAGATGCATACACATATCTAAAACACTACCCCGCTTCATTCGATGAAAACGCGCCTCCTTCACTCAACATCAACTACGACATCAAGAAAGAAGAAAACTCCCAATATGCCCAAAAAATGATGGGCACATCCACAAACCCAGATTGGGACGGAGGAACAGCAGACCACGCAAAACCGTTTGTGGGCTTCCTAATGCCCTGTCATAGTACCCCGTGGCGAAGTCAATTGGTGTATGAGGGATTGGCAGCCTGGGCGCTAGGGTGCGAACCCCCTGTGCATTTGGAGGTTGGCGAGAGAGAGGGGTATAGAGATGAGGCGGATAGGTTTTATGATGATCCGTGGAGGTTTTTGAGGGAGGAGATGCTGGTGGATGGGGAGGGGGAGGGGGATGGGAAGAAATTGTGGCCAAGATATATAGTGGGATTTGAGGGGGTGGAGAAAGATGTTAGGGAGTTTTTTGAGGGGGGTTCGGAGGGAATGGGAGAGGGAGAAGGAATGAGAGAGGGAGAAGCAGCGGGTAAAGGAAGGAAAATGAAGGAGATTTGGAGGGAGAGGAATACGCAGTGGATTGATGATTGGAGGAGGACTGGGGATGTAGTAGTTTGGGAATTTGTATAGGGGGGGGGATAAGGGGGGGATAAGATAAAAAGTATGAGGTATGAGGTATCGGAAGAACAGAGAACAGTAGATGATGAATGATAACCGATAACCGATGATTGAGGTAGGTAGGTAGGTAGGTAACCTTAGACAGAAGAAGAAGAACAGATATTAAAAATAGAAGATCTTACATAACATATAACATATAACATATGGAACGGATAAAAAGATAAAAAATAGATGGGTGATGTGTATCTATCTCTCTATCTCTCTATCTATCTCTCTATCTATCTATCTCTCTATCTATCTATCTCTCCACCCCTTCAATTTTCCCAAAATCCATCCCATACATCATACATCATACATCAAACATCAAACATCAAACATCAAACATCAAACATCAAACATCAAACATCAAACATCAAACATCAAACATCATACATCATACATCATACATCAAACATCAAACAATAAAGGAAATAAAATAAATAAACACGGAAAGTTTGGGTTTGGGTTTGGGTTTGGGTTTGGGTTTGGGTTTGATATTGATATTGACTTCTCTCTTTTCCTCTTCCTCTTCCCTCTTCCTCTTCCTCTTCTCTTCCTCTTCCTCTTCCTCTTCCTCTTCCTCTTCCTCTTCCTCTTCCTCTTCCTCTTCCTCTTCTCTTCCTCTTCCTCTTCCTTTCCTCTTCCTCTTCCTCTTCCTCTTCCTCTTCCTCTT